GTAAAGAAAGGATCCAATGCACTAGAAAGCTGAATATAAACGACTTCTGGATTTCCTCTGCCACGGACTCATGGAATCATTGAACAAATATTTGCTAAACCCCTACTTGGTGCAGAGCACAAGATGAGGCAGGCTCAGTCTCTCCCTTCCCGAGGCTCTCAGTCTGGAGCAGGTGGCCTCATGAAAGGCCAAGACTCTGGAGCCCAGAGCGGGAAGCACATCCCATTCCCACGGATGTCAGTAGTTGATGATGGTTTTGTTCCAGACACTTCCTCTTCTGAGATGTGTAAAGATCCTTGGGGGCATTTCATCTGTAATCTTCACTCTACAGGACGGTGTGCCCACTGGATATGCATCCAGAGGTCATTTTCCTGCTGCAAACATGAGATGCAAGGACAGCAAACAGCAAGTTCCCTGAGGTCAGAGGGGCTCTGCCTCCTTTTTCATACCTAGCAGGAGGGTGGGGCCTGCACACAGTAGGTGCACACATTCATTTGTTGAATAAACGGATTAGAATCCCGATAATCAGCCATATAGGGAAGGCATCATCGTCCTCACTGCCATCCTCATTTTAAACACAAGGAAGGTAATGGGGTGCCTGGGTGGCTCAGTCGGTTAAGCATCCAACTTTGGCTCAGGTCATGATCTCCCGTCTTGTGGATTTGAGCCCCGCATCGGGCTCTGTACTGACAGCTCAGAGCCTGGAGCCTGCTTCGGATTCTGTCTTCCTCTCTGCCCCTCCCCTACTTGCTCTCTGTCTCTGTCTCTCTCTCAAAAAAAAGAAAAAAATTAAACACGAGGAAGGTAAGGTTCAGCGAGCTTTAATAAATCCAAGGACTCACAGCTAGCAAAAGGCAGAACTGGGGCTCCAAACTCACTCCCCTCCCCATGCCGAGCCCTCCCTTTCATTCTCAGCTGGCCCTGCTGAGGGGACCTATTCCGTGGGTGTGGGTGGCATGTGACTGGAAGCCAGGAGGAAAGAGAAGTTCACAATCTTGCTGAGAGCCTACATGGCATCAGGTTGTCCGGGGAAGGACTGGGATGTGGGAATCAGCTGGTCGCATCCCTGGACTCTGCTGTTGGTTCTTTGTGCCCAAGAGCAAGTCACCGAATTTTCCTGACACCTGCTTCCTCAGCGGCAAAACTCTAATAATAATATCTTCCTCGTAGGTCTGTAATGAGGCATGAGTGTGATAAAAATGATAGTGTCTGGGGCGCAGAAAATTCTCAGTTCAGACTAGTTTGTTTCATTATGATCAGTTTAAGCATTTGTATTACAATGACTGCTGTAATTTGCCTCCAAGCACATGAACCAGAGAGTAACGGGTCTGAAAATAAATTTCCAAATTGCATGGTCTGTTACAATAAGTAAGTGGTTTTCGAGATTATTCGGAGAATGTGAATCTGTGTCATGCCCAGGAATACAAGCGGGGTTTCCTTTTCTGTAGCTGCTGTTTTGCAACTTAGAAAAGCTGAGGTGACATATTTTCTACCATTGTTTCTAAAAATATCAGGGCTGCAGTGCTTGGTCGGTTCCCTCATCTGTAAATGCCACGTTAAGATTTAGGAAGTGGGAGACTCACTTCCACCTTTCACCTCCTAGAGTAATTGGCTTGAGCCCTGGGTTGAGCACGTGTCCACTACCTTGTGTTTTCCAGTCAGTGTGTTTGTCTCGCCTGCTCTGTGCGGGAACCACGTCATCTTTACTGCTGGGTCCCTAGTGCCAAGCACAATCCATGGCGCCTAGTAGGTGGCCTTAATGGTGTTTGCTTTATCTGAATGTTTGAATGAAACGGGGTAAGAGTGAAAGGAGATGGACAAAGAACAAACACATGTTGGCATCAGTTACTCATTTTCCCTTCTTCTCTTCTTCCCTCCCTCCCTTCCTTCTTTCCTTTCCTCTTTCCTTCCTTTTGAATACAGTTGACACACACTGTTACATTAGTTTCACATGTACAACTTAGTGGTTTATATACCTTATGCTGTGGTCACTGCATGTGTAGCTACCGTGTATCTTGTTCCATGGCTATTACAATATCATTGACTCTATTCCTTATGCTGTGCCTTTTATTCTAGTGACCTACTCATTCCGTAACTGGAAGCCTGTATCTCCTTCTCCCCCTCACCCATTTTACCCAACACCGTGCTCCCTCCTCTCAGGCAACCATCAGTTTGTTCTCTGTATTTATAAGTCTTATTCTGGTTTTTGTTTATGCATTGGATATTTACTCAGAGAAAATGAAAACACTAATTTAAAAAGATACATGCATCTCTGTGTTTATTGCAGCATTATTTACAATGGCTAAGACCTGGAAGCAACCTAAAAGCCTATCAGTAGACAAATGGATAAGGAAAACATGGCACATCTGCATGTGCATATACATGGTGGAATACTATACAGCCATATAAAAGAGTGACGTTGTGCCATTTGGGACAATGGGTGGACCTAGAAGATGTTATGCTAAGCGAAATGAATTAGACTAAGAAAGACAAATACCATATAATTCCACTAATAACTGGAATCTAAAAAAATGATTTCTGAGACACAGGGAGGGACTGAGACCCAGTGTGCATGCACAAGGAAGCACACGCAGCTTCATGCTCCTCCTTGCTGAACCCTGAAGTCAGTACGCCTGTGGCAGCCAAGGTACAGCTATCTGGAAGGGATCCCGAGGGAGGGGACGGGTGTACCTTATGCCTCCGACTGTCTGAAGATATCGATACCTGCTTTCCTGCAGGGGAAGACACATTTGATCATGAATGTATGAAATGTGATTTATTTCAAACCTAGACAAGTCTGTTTTGTCCAAGGGCTACAACCAACAGTTTGGCTCTGTTAAAATACCTAAGTAAATAGTGTAGCTACTTAGTGTATGTGGTAGAAACCATTTCCATTATAGTGTTAAATATAACAGACACTTAAATGGGTGAGGGGCATTAAGGAATCTACTCTTGAAATCGTTGTTGCCCTATACGCTAACTAACTTGGATGTAAATTTTTAAAAAATTAATAAACAAATTAGAAATCAAAGGAAAAGGAAAAAAATAACATATGCTTACTAGAGAAAACTTAGAAAATCAAAGATTGGCCAAAAGAAGTAATTCCACCACCCAGAGGTAAAAGCTGATAACATTTTGGTGGATATTTTCCTTATCTTTTATATACGTGCTTTTTTCCCCCCCGTATAGTGGTTGTTTCCTATTATACATATTACCTTAACAGCTGCTTTGAAAAAAGTGATCATTTTCCATGGGGTTACATCTTCTTTGGTGACCTAATTTTAGTGGCTGCATAAAGTGACTGCCATGGTTGACTGCTCTGGTCCTCATTTGTGGTACAATTGTGTGCTTTCAGTTTTGAGCTATTAAAATTGTATTTTTGCAGTTAATATTTGTGCACATCTGTGATCATTTACATATAATGAATTCTTAGGAGTGGGAATATAGGATCCAAAGTTTTATTCTATTTATGCTCAATTCTCATTCCCTTCTCTCACCAAACAATCACGGTTCCTGAAAACCTTTGCCAGTTAGGTGAAAATGATATTTTGTATTGTTTGAATTTGCATTGGAAAGTATTTTTGATGGGAGACATTTCCCTTAACTCTGCAATTCCTTTGTTTGAATTTCTGATAGATGTGTTCATCTTTGTTCTTCTTGGTTTGATAGAACTCTTGAAATTCGCAATATTTTTCCCTTTTCTAATTCGTGGGTGGCAATATTTCCCCCAGCTAGTCGTTTGCCTTTTAACTGTAGTTGATGGTGTTTTCCTAGACAAAGCTTCCTTGAATGGTTGACATAGGTTTTCACTTAGGGTATATATATTTTTTCTGTCCAACTGCATTGAGTCAGAAATCGAATACTTTAAGGATGAACTTGTCATCCTTTAAGGGCAAATGCCTCCAAGACCCTTACAAGGCAACTCACCAGCATAAGTCTTGAGCCTGTGCTGCATTTTCCCCAGCACGGCTTTGACCAAATGTATCAACTCCTGCAAGAAAAAGACACAGAGCCAGGTTTTAAGTGGGTTCTGACCATCTTTTAGCAAAACATTTCTGAGAAACTCTGACCCAAGCATCTGCAAATCAGTCAGACCTCTTCTTCATCTCCACGGCCAAGATCAGCCCTTGGAATCTGGCTCTGGATGATCAAGCCAGTGCTGTCCAATTATACATAATGTAAACCACAGACACAATGTCAAATTATCCAGTAGCCACACTAAATGGAAGAGAAACAGGTGAAAATGATTTTACAAAATATTTAATGCAACCCAAAGTTGAAAATATTATCATTCCAACCTGTAACAAACATAAAAAATACTGAGATATTTTGCACTCTTTAAATCTTTAAAATCTGGCATGGGGTGCCTGTCTGGCTCAGTCCGTAGAGCATGCAACTCTTGATCTCAAGGTCGTGAGTTCAAGCCCCATGTTGGCCATGGAGCCTACTTAAAAAACAAAAAAATCTGGTATGTATTTTACACTTTCAGCACATAGCACATGTGGCTCGGGGCCATGGTACTGGACAATGCAGGTCTAAAATAGCAGTCTGGCTGTGTGTAAAAAAGCAAAAGCCCCAACAAATAGTAATTAAAACAAACTTACATTAGGGACCTCATCCCTATGACCTGCCTAAGAGTGAGAACAGCTGGTGGCCACTTTGTGAAATCTCTCTCTCAATCTCTCTCTCTTTATTTTAGAGCAAAAGAAAGAGAGAGCATGAGCAGGGGAGAGGGGCAAAGAGAGAGGGGGGGGTGGAGAGAGAGAGAGAGAGAGAGAGAGAGAGAGAATCTTAAGCAGGCTCCTCTCTGAGCATGGAGCCCAAGGTAGGTTCAATCCCATGACCCTGGGATCATGACCTGAGCCGAAATTAAGAGTCGGATGCTCAGCTGACTAAGCCACTCAGGTGCCCCTGAAATTTCTTTTCTCTTAACACTCTTGTAGATCTGAGGATTTCAGCGTCTCACATCTGTACCAATATGCATGTTTTACTTTATTAAGGGCCAACAGTGACGATGCCCAAATCCTGCTCAGAATGGAGCCAAAGCGGTTCGAATCCACTGCCCAGGACACTCTGCGTGTGTCCATCACCAGACGAGACTGGCTTCTTCAAGAAAAGCAGCAGTTGCAGGTAAGCAGGTGAAGAAGAATCTTCAGGAAATAGGCCAGCATTTTCCTTACCCATTTCAGCCACACGGGGCAGGGCAGATCTTTGCTTTGCTTGAATGTAGCAGTCAGAGCTTTGGCCGTCCACCCGTGAAGTACAAAAGGGAGAGATGGGTGGAGATGGCTGGAGGGCTTGTAGGAATCTCATTACCTACTAGGAGCTGAAAGCTCAGTGGTGTTTGTGCTTGTTTTCTGTATTTCTCATTACCTTCTGAATATGCTTTCCTTGTCTGCCAGGCCAATTTGTCACCTCTTATCATTTTGACCTTTACGAGGTGCTTTTGAAAGGCGGGAAAAAAATCTGTGTTATGAAAATCCTTTATGGCAAATTGTATCCAGTGGCACTGCAAGGAGCAGCTGTTAGGGGGCAGAGTCGCAAGTACGGGCTGGGCAAGGCTGGCATGTCTGCAAAAAGCTGGTGGGCATTGTACAGAAGCTCCAGGTTGGCCCAGAGCAGTGGGGGAGAGTTGGGGGGGCGGCAGTGGGGGAAAGTTGGGGGTGCAGCCAGAAGTCTCGGAGCAGCACTGAGCTTCAGGCCAGAGACAATCAGGAAGTTGAACTCACACCCCCACCTTAAAGCCAGGTCCACACCAGCTGGAGCCTGGAGGCTTCGAGGTAGGGTGGGGAACAAAAAGGAAGCATCCGTTGAAGGCATCTGGACTTCCAGAAAGAGCATGGGTCTTTAATACCGAGAGTTAATCTTGGTTTAGGCTCTAAATAACAGAATGAATTTAGATCAGTTTATGGGGCTTGGATAAGTTACTGGACTGCCCCCTTCCCCATCCCTACACCCTCATGTAGGGCATTCTTGTTATCTGAGTTTGCCCACCCAGGTCCCCATAATGGCAAAGTGCCAAAGGGAAGCAAAAGTCATCACAATTTGAAAATATTCTCCAATAAACCAAATGTTTATATATTCAACGAGCATTATCATAAAAGTTTGGATGAAAAGGTGAAATCTCATTTTTGGTCTTCAACAGTATGTATCAGTTGTATCAGTTAAAGGTCTGCAAAATTCCTGATGGCGTCAAAGTGTTCAGAAGATAATGTTAGCCCGGGATGCTTAGTGTTTGAAGGGAATGTTCTTGGCAGAACTCTGGGGGAAGGTAGATATTCATTCAGCTGGTATTTGCATGCCTCCTCTGTGCCAGATGCTGTTTGAAATGCTGAGGATTTCGTGGGGTTGATATTCTAGTAGGGGTGGGTGTGGGGAGATAGATGAATGGCAAGCATAATACATACATAAATTATCTACTTACCCTGTTGTAGGACAGTGAGAGCTGTCGTGCATAGGCTAAGGTCAACTCATTGAGCAGTGAACTTGGAGCTGAGGGAACAGCCATGTGAAGTCTGCAGTGTGGATGTGCCTCCCATATGCAGAGGGCAGCCAGGAGGCCAGGCTACGGGAGGGTGGTGGAGAAGAAGGTCAGGGAGCAAAGGGATCTTGGAGGAATCTTGCGCACCTTTGTAAGAACTCCAAGCTTCTCTCCGACAGGAATGTGGAGTCTTTGGAGGGTTCTAAGCAGCGAAGTGACATAATCTGATCACATTTTATTTATTTATTAAAAAAATTTTAATAGGTCATTTATTTTTGAGACAGAGAGAGACAGAGGATGAGTGGGGGAGGGCCAGAGAGAGAGGGAGACACAGAATCTGAAGCAGGCTCCAGCCTCTGAGTGGTCAGCACAGAGCCCGATGTGGGGCTCAAACCCACGAACTGCGAGATCATGATCTGAGCTGAAGTCGGACACTTAACCGATTGAGCCACCCAGGCGCCCCATTCTGATCACATTTTAAAGAATCATTTTGATTTCTGTGTGAAGAATAAGGTGTGGGCCTTTTGCACTGCTGGTGGGAATGTAAACTGGTGCAGCCACTCCGGAAAACAGTATGGAGGTTTCTCAAACAATTAAAAATAGAACTACCCTACGACCCAGTAATTGCACTACTAGGTATTTATCCAAGGGATACAGGTATGCTGTTTCTAAGGGGCACAGGCACCCCAATGTTTAGGGCAGCGCTATCAACAATAGCCAAAGTATGGAAAGAGCCTAGATGTCCATCGACTGATGAATGGATAAAGAAGATGTGGTATATATGTAGTGTGTGTACACACACACACACACACACACACACACACACACGATGGAATATTCCTCAGCAATCAAAAAGAATGAAATCTTGCCATTTTCAACAACATGGATGGAACTAGAGTATATTATGCTAAGTGAAATTAGTCAGAGAAAGGACAAATATCATACGACTTCACTCATATGTGGAATTTAAGACACCAAACAGATGAACATAAGGGAAGGGAAGCAAAAATAATATAAAAACAGGGAGGGGGACAAAACATAAGAGACTCTTAAATACAGAGAACAAACTGAGGGTTGCTGGAGGGGTTTGGGGTGGGGGGATGGGCTAAATGGTCTTAAGGGGCCTTAAGGACGACACTTGTTGGGGTGAGCACTGGGTGTTACGTGAGTGGATGAATCCCTGGATTCTATTCCTGAAATCATTGTTGCACTATATGCTAACTAACTTGGATGTAAATTTAAAAAAATAAAAAAAAAAAAAAGAATAGGGTGTAGGGCCAATGTGAAAAAGCATGGTGGGTCTTCAAAGCATTAAATATAGAATTACTGGGGCACCTGGATGGCTCAGTCTATTGAGTGTCTGACTCTTGATATCTGCTCAGGTCATGATCTTGTGGTCATGAGATCGAGCCCAATATAGGGCCCCACACTGAGCCTGGAACCTGGTTGGGATCCTCTCTCACCTTCTCTCTGTCTGCCCTTTCCCTGCTGGTGCTATCCCTCAAAATAAATAAATAAACATTACAAAAAATAGAATTACCACACAATCCAGCAATTCTACTTCTGGGTAGATGCCCAAAGGAATTAAAATCAGTGCCTCAAAGAGATGTTCACAGCAGCATTATTGACGATAGCCAAAAGGTGGAAGCCACCCAAGTGTCCATCTGTGGATGAGTGGATAAACCAAATGTGGGGCATCCACGCAATGGAATATTGTACAGACTTAAAAAGGAAGGAGATTCTGACACATGGTGCAACTTGGATGAATCTTGAGGACATGACCCTAATGAAATAAGCCAGTCACAGAAGGACAAATACTATGATTCCACTTCTATGAGGTTCCTAGAGATGCATAGACACAGGGAGTAGAATGGTGGTTGTCAAGGGCTGGGGAAGGCAGAGTAATGGGGAGCTGGAGTTTAACGGGGACAGAGTTCTGGTTTATAAGATGAAAAGACCCCTTGGATGGAGGGTGGAAATGATTGCATGGCTGTGTGAATGTATCAGTGCCATGGAACTGGCATTAAAAATGGTTAAGATGGGGCACCTGGAGTTTCAGCTCAGGTCAGGATCTCACGGGTTCGTGGGTTTGAGCCCCGCATTGGTGCATCTTCAACTCCTCCTCAGTCTCTACCCCCCTGCCCCCCACTGGAAGTGGGGTCAGGAGGTTGAAGTTGTAGGTGATCTGTACCTTGGGTTTAAGAGAACATGGATGAGAGCTGGGGAGGCGCCCAGGATTAGAGCTCAGCTCTTCTCAGCCAGAAACCAATGCATGGAACAGGGGGGTGCGGTGACTGAAAGAGCCTCATTTTAAATTCAGAACACAGTGCACAATGAGATGATTATCTGCTCCAACACCATGCACACGGTGTGCGTTCGATTGCCTGCTGCTTGTTTTCTTCTTTGACCTCAAGATTGGATGATACTTTATAGATTCTTCAGACTTTGGTTTGCTATATTAGTGGAAATGAAATTTATTTAATACTTTTTACAGACTGTAGACTGCATCAAACTCTCTGCAGCATCCTGTTGTTCTTTCAGTCTTGTAGACTTAGGGAATTGTGATTTTTAATCTTTCACTACACACTAACTTTTTCTGTTCAGGGACAGACCGGCCAAGGACTGTCTGCTTTTCTTTTTTGGTCTGTGACCTGTGTTAACCTGCTTAGCTGTACCTCACACACGTGACGTTTGCTGCTCTGTGTTCTAGCTCTTCCACCAGAAACGAAGGAAGTCATCTATGTATCTGCTTGGTTCTTCCAAATCAAATTCCTAGCCCCCCCCGCTCCCCATAGTTATTTAATGCTTGGGAGAGAATGTTTTTCCTTATGCCAACTAATCAGAAATACAAAGCTGGCGTGATTTTTTCACTTCAGCAAACCTCCAAAAATCTGCTCCGAAGGGGAGCTCTCTCATGCGTATGGCTGACTTTCCTTTGACGACCTATTGTCGGCAGAGCGGTTTGCCACAAGCAGGGTTAATTTATAAAATCTGGTGTCTCCCCTTTCTCCAGAAAGAAATCGAAGCTCTCCAAGCAAGAATGTCTGTGCTGGAAGCCAAAGATGAGCAGCTGAGAAGGGAAATAGAAGAGCAAGAGCTGCTGCTGCCAGGGCGGGGCTGCGACCTGGCCCCGCTGGTGGGCAGGCTGTCCCTGGGCGAGCTGCAGGAAGTCAGCAAGGCCTGGCACGATACCCTGGCCTTAGCTGACCGGATTCCCCTGCGTGCAGAACCACCCGAAGCCGTAAGGAGGTATTGATTTCCTTACTGATTTCGGATCACTCACCTATTCGACCTGTTTATGGGATGGATGTTCCCTGCTCTCCCTCTCGTACAAGAATTGTCCGAGCGGGGCCATCGTTTTCCAGTGGAAACACTATCGTTATTTGAAGTGGGAAAATTCTTCATTGTATGGGGCGGTCCTGAATGTTTCGAGATATTTTAGAACCTGGCCACCACCCAACCAGATTGGTTGGCCCATTTTGCTATGTACTAAGTTACCCCCAGGGGCATCTTCTCTCCCTTTGAGATCTGTTGGAGATTCCGCTGCCAGCCTTGGCTGAGGGCGATCATACAAAGAGAGGCGAACTATACTGTCACTGAGGGCGGGGGTGGCCATTAAGAGGGAGATACTCAGTCAATGACCGTGTTTCCATCAGGAAGAATGAATGATTATTAATAATAGCTAGCATTTATTGAGCGCTTACTCTTTGCCAGGCACTGTGCTAAGCTTTATGAGTTGCTTCTGTTATTATATTTACTTTATAGGTGAGGAAAAGAAAGTTCAAGGTTAGCAATTTGCCGGAAGTCCCAATAAGAGAAAAAATTGATACTTAAGCTCCTGTTTGTTCCTTCTTAGCCATGTTTCCTATCCACTTACTGTGGAGTGAGAATCTGCCCTGTACTCCGTGTTGTGCAGTGTCCACAAGATGCACTTCGATGTCATGATCCTATTTTGGTGAAGGACGGAACTCGCATGTACCCATGTTAGGTAAAAAGCTGAGGAGTGCCTGGATGAATATGCAGCTGGGCAGTGGGGCCTGCAATGCTGTGGGTGTAGGGAAGTGGGAGCGATTCATGTTCCGCTGAGTTATTTTGCTGAAGACAATACATCATAAAACTAACTTCCCGTCGTGGTTGAGAATATGGACTCTGCCATCTGATTATCCTCACTCAACCACGTAGCAGCTAGACCCCTGATTGTTTGGGGGAAGAGATGATGATAATAGTGCCTACCTTACAGGGCTCTTATGTGGATCAACTGCTAATACATTCAAAGCTCTTATAGCAGTGCCTCGATGGTAGTAAGCACTTTACTATGTTTACTGCTCGTCCTTTTTTTTTTCTAAAAAAAGTTTTTAAATTTTTAATTTTTTTATATATACCGAGAAAGTGCAAGTCAGGTAGAAGAGCAGGGGTGGGGAGGGAGAGAGAGAGAGAGAGAGAGAGAGAGTTTTAAGCAGGCTCCATGCTCAGCACAGAGCTCGGGGCTCGATCCCACAACCCTGGAATCATGACCTGAGCTGAAATCAAGAGTCAGACACTCAACTGGCTGAGCCACCCAGGTGCCCCATTTGTCATTTTTAAAAACTTTAAAAAAATATTTAGTTATTCTTGAGAGAGAGGTGAGAGAGCACAAGTGGGAGAGGGGCAGAGAGAGAGCAGGGAAACAGAGGATCCCAAGCAGGCTTTGTGCTGACAACAGCGAGCCTGACATGGGGCTTGAACTCACGAACTGAGATCATGACCAGAGCCAAAGTAAGAAGCTCAACTGACTGAGCCACGCAGGCGCCCCTCCACTTGTCATTTTTATTATGGGATTTCGGACTCCTGAAGGCCTTCAAACTGCCTGTCCCAATGTGTCTTAGACTATTCTGTGAATAACGGTCCCCTCTTACACACATATCACATCCTATCCAGCCAAAAAAGCCAGCCCCAGATGCTCGTCTAGGGAGGTGCTCAGGACCCCTTCCAGCCCTAATATTTCCCTTCAGAAATCTAACTCTTGTCCAGGGAGAAGGAGAAGAGATTAGGATTGTTGCCGAATTTCAGCTACAGGAAACTGACCATTGACTATGCCACATGCTTTCCCATTGCAGCTTCGTACGTATCCTTACCCTCCTGCCTCAGCCTATAAGGATCTTTCCCACTCCTGCTTCCTGCAGAAGTCATTCTACATCTATATGTGTCCACACACACACACACACACGCGCGCACACACTCACATTCACATACATAGGTGCAGGTTTATAATGTGTAGTATGTGCTTTGTATGTTGTATATCATTATACATTTGTACATAACACATGCATTGTATTATATATTATATGCATGTATCACGTGTAATATATAAGGTGAAATATACATGTGAATTTATTATTCCATTTACACATGCATATATTTATATTTGAGGCTTAAAATGATCCCTTTTTGCTCCTGCCATCCAGATGTGTCCTACTTATTTCTCTTTTTGCCTTTAACAGCACGGAGGTTTGTTATATGCCTCTTTTCACTCCCACGAGCTGACGGCTCTTTGAGGGAAGGAGCCAGGGCATGCTTAACTTAGAATCCACCCCACTGTGTCACAAAGCCTCTGTGTTTTGAGCTGAATTCATGCGCAGTGTCCCTGCGGGTGTGGCCTGTACCGTACAGATGTGCAGAGCGCTTTCTCACACACTGACTCGTGGGGATCAGAGTAGCCCGGTTTGGCAGGTGGGCCATTTTCCTTGTCGGCATTTCACAGATGAGGACGCAAAAACTCTGGAAGTTTTTCTGGTGACGCAGCTACTAAGAGACCTTGTATACATCCATAGCTGCTGTGGGGTCTGAACCAATAAAAGATAGCCTCTTTCCAGAGCTCCATGGAAGATACTTCTCTTAGTGTAGGATCTCCACGATACAGTAGGCTGATGGATCCCTTAACTTGGATCCTCTCATTTCTAGTCTCTTCTTCTGCCCAAGTTCTCAGTCTGGGATGTTCATCAGGAGCTCAGAGCACTGCCAGCACCGAGCAGAGTTTGTGTTACTGGGAAGTGACCACCCTGGGACATCACATAATCTGGGTGACCCTGCAGCTGGTGACCCTTGGCATCTCCTTTATTTACCCAGAGGTACAGCAGGACCTCCCTGCCTTAGGGCAGTTTGGGTGTGTAGGTACAAGTTTTGGCTCATCAGCTTCCTCTCTTCCACACTAGGGAGGCGAGGTTTCATGCTGTTCCTGGCCAAAAATATCAACTGGAAAAATCATTGTTATTTATGTGGGCTTTCCATTTAAGAAGGAAGACACACCTTTTCCACGCTGATGGGCTGCGGCGTGGACTCCCAGAAATGGGGAAGTTGAAAGAAGCCAGTGTGGAATCACATGGCTCCATTGATCAGAGTGCTTGGTCTAGTATTTTTAACTAATTGTACATGATCCTGTTAACTTAGTTTTTCCTATGAGATACTGGTTTTCTTTTAGAAGATGTTGACTTGGGTGGCATTAGGATGGGGGGAAATATCTCATAGGTGCCCCAACCAGAACAATGGATCTTCTGTGCATCATTAGCTTTGTTGACAAACGGCTTTGTTGTTTATGAGAATCATTTCTTCTTAGGCCAGATGGAGAGATGCTGACAAATTGTGAAACGGGCAAATCGTCAAGTCTTACAAAGAGAAGGTGTAGAGACTGGTATTGTGACAAATATCTGGAGAAACAGACCACTCAACATCATAACTATTATTATCATCACCCATAAAGATTTTTCCTAGAGACCAGCTTAGAACTCAGGATGCCATCAGGGGAGAAGCTGTTTCTGATTTACTCAGCTCAGTAATGTGCAAGTTCAAAGGGAAGGCTATGTTTCTTCCCCTGGATAAACTACATATTAAGCTTGAAAAGGAACTTCCTAATAGCACTTGGCATTTCTGAGAAAATCACTGGTAGAGACTGCGTGCTTGCATGGCGCCTTCATTTCTGAGCATAGCTTGTTGGGAATCATCTGGTGGATGTCAGAGAAGGACTGGAAGTAGAAGGTTCTATGCTGGGCACCAGAGACCCAGTGGCTTTTATTTGGAGATTCTAATAGACATCAAAGCAGTAGTCTGAATTTTCTGTCTGTGTTTTGGATCAAATATCTTAGCAGGATGGAATGAAGAGCTGCCTTCTCAGAGATATCCTAGCTGCCTCTTGATCGGGCCAACAGAAATGGTTTTCCTCCAGTGGTCATGAGAACATGTTGAAGGCCGTGGGGAATCAGAAACTCCACAGTGTGGAAGCTGACAGAACAGGGATGTGTAAAGGACAGGGGCCACTGGAAAGGTGTGTTCATTTAAGATTCCTTTATTGTTGTAGACTCTAAGTCTAAAGTTCTCTCTCGGCTAGCAAGAGAGTAGATGCGGGATTAAAATAGGAGAGAGAGATGGCTAATGTCTGGGAAAACACAAGAGCCCCGAATAAGGGTCCTTGCCCCGTTTTTATTAGGATCAGAAGGCTTACAAACATGGTGATGGATGCGCACAAAGAAACAAAAATCCGTGAACATTAACTTGTGGACATGAGGGAAGGGAGGTCTGGAAGATATTGGAGGTCAGGGGTTTGGGTTAATATAAAACAAAATCCTGGTGCTGGGCATTCGGGGCCAGAAGGTTTGTTTATCTTAGCTCACCTTTTCTTTTGTTAGTCCTCTCTGCCCTGGGCTGCTTTACCTGCAGTGCAGACGTCTATAGACCAATTTACCTGTTTACCACTAATTTGGTCCTTTCTTCCTGTGAAAGCAGCTTTCTGCTATAGTACTAAATTGGGGGGTGCTTTGCCCTGAATGCCTAATCTTATTTATTTCGTATACCTGTGTAGTACGTGCCTTTGCACGACTCTCTATTATGGGGCCTTTACCCCTCCCTCGCTATTCTGGGGTGCCTTAGCACCTCCCTATTCTTGGTTTACCCAAACTCGGGTGTGAGCATCCTATGTCTCTATGCTTCTTTATGCCTTGTTAACCCATTGGTATAAGCCTGGGGGATCCCTAAGCTTATTCCTCACACTTTATTCCTGGGATTCCAACCCTTAAAACCTACTCCTTGTTTTCTCTTGTAAGTTTTCCTTTAATGGGAGAGGTCTAGATGAATGACTTTTATCCAGCAAACTTGATTCTCCATCCACATTAACCATTTCTTTTCACTCCATCCCATACTGACTGCACTCCCATTATCGGTAATGGGATTGGGCGTGGGGGTGTGGGTGTGGGGGTGGGGAGAAGGATGGGGACACAGAG